GTGCTGATCTCAGAACAGATTCATGATAAGGATGATTCACTTATTTAGATTGCAAATTATGATTGAGTTTAATATTTAGTGCTAAAACTCTTTGACCGATCCAAGTTGATTGTCTTGGACTGAATGTGGATGATTCATATTTGTTTGAACATTACACTGACCACCGTATTGGATTGTGCTGTATGGTGAACATAGGAGGAGATTGTTGGATATATTATTAATATAGTCCAAATAATATGTTCACATACAAGCCCAATAGGTTTAAAGTATGGTTATTTTGGGCCCATATGGGCTGGAGCCCAATAGCTTACATATAAACTCTAGGGTTTACCTACGCTGGAGGTAACACTGTTGAGCGTTCCAAACTTGACGTCTCTTGGTGTAATACTTCAAGCAAAACACTATCTACTCTCTCAAACCCATAATCTTCAACATGACCTGCTGGTCATCTACGTACATTAAGGTTCACTTTTAGTTTGCTTGATGTGCAATGTCCCCTTAGCAAGTAGCAAAGTAGGGCCGCGATTAATTAGTCCTTGCCGTTCAACGAGTAAATATAGAAGCATGCATCTTCCCCAAAATAAAAGATACATCTAAAAAGAGTTTTTAAAATTTCAATACAAAATCAATTCTTTACGTATCACGTGATTCAATGTGATTGATCAATTACACCACGTGACTCAACTAATAACCCTAGCTCTATTTGAATAAATGAATCCACCCTCCAAATATTCTACATTTTGCTGCATCATAAGACCAAAGCCAAAGGTCATCAAGCAACGCCCAATTTTTTTATTCCCGCAATCCCGATTAATTTAGACTCGATTCCAGATACATCATTGAATCGTCCATGAGTATCAAGAGAAACGAAGGCACCAGCCGATCAGGAGGCATGAAACATAGGAGTTCGGGTCGATGGATGGCCCGAATGCAGATCATTTCAAACATATGTGTTCATGATCTTGTCGAGCTAAAAGAGGAAAAACAACGTGCGTTGGTTAGGATGGAGATGTTCTTTCCCCAATTGGGTATTGAGATGATATCACGGTATTCAACGAGTGGTCCAAACGAGACGGCTAGCCATGCAATGCACTCAGCCTCTGACCCGCGCCCATTTAATGGGTCAAGCTCGACCTTATCTACTTGCAAGGGAAAATTGTCAAATCAGTCCTAAACCTATTGTACGGCGGCCAATTCAGTCCTAAACCTTTTAATTTTGCCAATTCAGTCCTAAACCTTTCTAATTCTTGCCAATTCAGTCCTTCCGGCCAATTTTGGCCGGCCGGCATTGACGTGGCCGCCGGCCGTCCGGCCAACGCTGACGTGGCAATTTTTTTATTATTTTTTTAAAAATTTTTAATCTTTTTTTTTTCTTTTTTTCTGTTTTTTTTTCTTTTTTCTTCCTCTGGCCGGTCCGGCGACCGGCGGCCGGCCAGAGGGGAGGCCCGGCGAGGTCGACCTTGCCGCTGCTGAGGCGAGGCCGACCTCGCCGTCGCCTGGTTCGCGACGGCGAGGTCGAGCCTCGCACAGATCTGGCGAGGCTCCACCTCGCTGTCGCTACCCAGGCGACGGCGAGGCCCGACCTCGCCGTCGCCTGGGTCGCGACGGCGAGGTCGAACCTCGCCCACACGACGGCGAGGTCGAGCCTCGCCGGATCTGGGCGAGGTTCGACCTCGCCGTCGCGACCCAGCGACGGCGAGGTCGAACCTCGCCCGGATCTGGCAAGGCTCGACCTCGCCGTCGCGACCCAGGCGACGGCGAGTTCGGCCTCGCCTCAGCAGCAGCGAGGCCGGCGAGGTCGACCTCGCCGGCCCTCCCCTCTGGCCGGCCGCCGGTCGCCGGACCGGCCGAGGAAGAAAAAGAAAAAAAATAGAAAAAAAAAAAAAAGATTAAAAATTTTTAAAAAAATAATAAAAAATTGCCACGCGTACGGGCGTTCAACGGCCACGTCACTTGGCCGCCAAAATTGGCCAAGGACTGAATTGGCAAGAATTAGAAAGGTTTAGGACTGAATTGGCAAAATTAAAAGGTTTAGGACTGTTTTGGCCGCCGTACAATAGGTTTAGGACTGATTTGACAATTTTCCCCTACTTGCAACGTGTGGGTCATGTTTGAGCTTTTGTTCTTTTTTATATTTTACGAGGAATTGAGGGAAAAATTTTATTATTTTATGTGCAATTTGTCTATGGTTACGTGGGAACTCCTTGCTGTACATTCTTTCATTTATTGTTATTATCATTTTTTTCTATATTTTTTGGTGGCCCTGTGAAAAATGGACTGTTATTTTCAAGATAATTGAATGTGGCGGTGGGAGGAGAATTGCCTTCTTTGATAGTTGATGGCAATTGCTCTTGTCGCCTCCGAACTGTCTCGTTCCAAGGCAAAGGAGCTTTCATAAACAGCGAACCGCAACAGAAAGCCAAGTGATTCCATCAAACGTGCCAAATTGCAACAAAAGGACTCACTATCCATCATCGGACCTCCAAAAATCACGTGAATTTCATATGGAGCTATCAAGACCGAAAGTTTGAGATGCGTCGCATGCATGCTCGCTCAACTTATTCGGGGAAAGAAAATCCATGGAATATTATTATCTATCGAGTTCTAAGATAAAGGTGCAACAATAAGGCATTTGGCTCTTCCATCTCGAGAAGCAAGAGGTTTCAATTTTGATTTCTATCATCAACTCCTTGTCCTTGGGTTATCTCTAACGATCATATCATAAATATACTTTTGGCTACGTAATTAATCTGGTGTGATGGGTACAAGAATTGGGGAAAAGTGCCAAAAAAGTCCTAAACCTTTTGCATTAGTGCCAATTCAGTCTAAACCTTTTTTGGTGCAATTCGAGTCCTAAACCTTTTGCATTGGTCTGCCATTTAGTCCTAAACCTTTTTTGGTGCCAATTAAGTCCTAAACCTTTTAAATTGGTGCCAATTCGATCCTAAACCTTTTGTTTTTGTGCGATTTAGTCGCTTTCGGTCAATTTTGACCGGAATTTGCTGACGTGGACGGCTGCCGGCCGGCGACCGGTCACCGGCGCCGACGCGGCGCTGACGTGGACAAATTAAATAATATTTTAATATTTTTTTGAATTTTTATTTTTTTCCTTTTTTTTCTTTTTTTTCCACTTTTTTTTTGGGTTTCTCCTTCCTCTGGCCGGTCGCCGGTCCGGCGACCGGCCAGAGGCCAGAGGCCGGCGAGCTCGACCTCGCCGGCCACTGGGGAGGGCGGCCTCGCCCGGCGAGGCCGAGCCTCGCCTTGGTCGGGCGAGGCTCGACCTCGCCAGATCCGGCGAGGTCGGGCCTCCCCCGACCATGGCGAGGCTCGAGCCCTCGCCGGAGGCCGCGGCGAGGGCGAGCCTCGCCATGGTCGGGGAGGCCCGACCTCGCCGGATCTGGCGAGGCCGGGCCTCGCCGGCGGCTGGGCGAGGTCGGGCGAAGCGGCGAGGCTCGAGCCCTCGCCGGAGGCCTCGGCGAGGGCGAGCCTCGCCATGGTCGGGCGAGGCCCGACCTCGCCGGATCTGGCGAGGTCGAGCCTCGCCCAGCCGCCGGCGAGGCCCGACCTCGCCAGATCCGGCGAGGTCGGGCCTCGCCCGACCATGGCGAGGCTCGCCCTCGCCGCGGCCTCTGGCGAGGGCTCAAGCCTCGCCATGGTCGGGCGAGGCCCGACCTCGCCGGATCTGGCGAGGTCGGGCCTCGCCGGCGGCTGGGCGAGGCTCGACCTCGCCAGATCCGGCGAGGTCGGGCCTCGCCCGACCATGGCGAGGCTCGCCCTCGCCGGGCGAGGCCGCCCTCCCCAGTGGCCGGCGAGGTCGAGCTCGCCGGCCTCTGGCCTCTGGCCGGTCGCCGGACCGGCGACCGGCCAGAGGAAGGAGAAACCCAAAAAAAAAAGTGGAAAAAAAAAGAAAAAAAAGGAAAAAAATAAAAATTCAAAAAAATATTAAAATATTATTTAATTTGTCCACGCAGCGCCACGTTCGCGCCGATGACGATCACGCCGGCCGGCGGCAGCCGTCCACGTCAGCAAATTCGTCAAAATCGACCTGAAGGACTAAATTGGCACAAAAACAAAAGGTTTAGGACCGAATTGGCACCAATTTAAAAGGTTTAGGACTTAATTGGCACCAAAAAAAAAAGGTTTAGGACTAAATTGGCACCAATGCAAAAGGTTTAGGACTGAATTGGCACCAAAAAAAAGGTTTAGGACTAAATTGGCACTAATGCAAAAGGTTTAGGACTTTTTTGGCACTTTTCCCCAAGAATTGTCATGTTCGCACTCGATTGCGATTAGTAGTGTTGCCAACAGTGATGCATTCTTTATTCCCAACCCATTTTACACATGACGTACGAGTCGACTATACAGTTCTAAATACTTCAAAGACTCAACGTTTGGAAACTCGGTATGGATGAAAGTTTCAATAGTTTACTATCTTTTTTGGACAAACGTGTGAGTACCAAACTTGGCACCCAATTTGCATGCTTTTGAAGTATCTTAGGCATCGATTAACATCATGAGGAATGGGCCTAGCACCCGAGACACACATCTTTAAGCATCTGCCGCTCGGTCACGTTTCATTGGCGCGTGGAAAAACAAATCAATCAAGACGTATACATTTTCTCTTCGAAATTCAGCACACAATGTGATTTCAATCCGCCGGTTCATTAGCTTTGCTTTTGCATGTTAGCGGTGCAAGGAATGCGGCAGAATACTTTCTCTCGTCACGTGGAGCATATACGGAAGAACAGCGGGCAAGTCGCCAATTTTGACTTATATTACAACAACTTAGGCCAATAATTAAGAGCCCCAAGTAGGCCGTAACTACGAAACCACAAGGAAAGAACCAATGAGCTGGCAAATGGAGGAAGTTCTTGAAAAATAACAAAGAGGGCAATGTTATAATATACAGAGAAAAGGTTATCTCGACATCAAACCTTTTTATATATGAAGGACCTTCCCCTTCAGACACCAGAACACAATATTTCTCTCACTTTATCAACTGTAACGTTATTAGGGAGAGCCCAAAATATGTTCCCTGAAGTGTTCTTCATGTCACTCGCATTCTTCCTCTATCGCCTCGTCCTAGGGAAGCTCAGGACCGCGAGAGTCCTCCACCGGAGCGGAAGTAACGTCGTCGCTCATGCGAATTTTTCTAAGTACCAGAGATCACACTCTCTTGCTCGCAGGCAAGGCCTACACGACCAAACCATCGTGTTCGATGTCGAAGGGGCTTTGCTAAGGTCCTGCTCTTTGTTCCCTTACTTCATGCTCGTGGCCTTCGAAGCAGGGGGCCTCATGAGGGCGCTCTTGCTTCTTATGACATACCCATTTTTAGGGTTTTCTGGTGCTGAGCTAGGATTGGAGGTAATGGTCCTGGTTTGCTTCTTTGGGTTAAAAAAAGAAAGTTTTAGGGTGGGGAGTGCTGTTTTGCCAAAGTTCTTGCTTAAGGATGTGGGTTTGGAAGGGTTTGAGATGGTGAAGAAGAGCGGAGGGAAGAGAGTGGGAGTGAGTGGGCTTCCACAAGTGATGGTTGAGAGCTTCTTGAGGGATTATATGGAGGTTGACATGGTGGTTGGGAGGGAGCTTAAGGTGGTGTGTGGGTATTATGTGGGGCTTATGGAGAGGAAGAGGCGGAGTGTGGTTGATGAGTTGGAGGAGATGCTTGGGAAGGAGACATCTTCACAATGTGGTCTCATTGGCATTAGCAGCTACAAGAAGTCCCTCCAACATGATCCTTTGTTCTCAAGATGCAAGGTGAGTGGTCAAAGAGCTCTCTCTCTCTCTCTCTCTCTCAACCAAGGGGTTGGTCGCGGTCTGTAGGTAACGGCAACCCGTGGTCGTCGTCGTCTCGCATAGTTTCTCCTATCTCAATTTGACAAGATCTGAAGACAACCACCACCACTTCGATATAGTTACCATAATTAGGAGATTTTGCATACTGTTGCAGTTCAAGGCGACGAAGACCATCCCAGCAATGGTCGCCATCGCCTCTCTCCCTCTTGCTCATTGATTAGTCTTTCAGAGTGGTCGTTAGATCACGTGGTATTGTCATATTTCTTTATCATCAACTGTTCACTTTAGAATCAATTCCATCATAGCTGTTTTGATTCAGTCAAAACTTCGTATCTATTAAGTTGCATGGACATAATCTACTCTAGTTAGCCATATATGCCATGACGGGTTCATCGTCTTGAAATGCTCCTTTCATAGACTATAGGCTTGAAACTATGCACAAATCGTAACCGTATATATTTCCACACGAATCTGTCATTGTTGAGACATTCCATTTCACATGTTCCATCGCTTTCTCTTGCATTAATATTTCCATATTGTCCTAACACAAGCAAATTGTCATACTTTCTAAAAACTCACCAATAAATACGGTGCTTATGCGCATCCAAGAACCTGGGTATACTTTTGTCCATACGTAAATAGATTATAATCTAATGTCAAGTCTTCTTTTGCTTTTCTTTTTCCATAGGAACTATACCTAGTGAGCAAATCAGACAAGAGAAGCTGGCATCACCTCCCAAGAGAAAACTACCCAAAGCCACTCATCTTCCATGATGGAAGATTAGCCCTAAAACCCACCCCAATCTCAGCCCTAGCCATCTTCATGTGGCTCCCGTTTGGCCTCTGCCTTTCCCTCTTGAGAGCCATCATTGGCATATTCCTACCGTTCACTCTCTCCATCGCGCTCCTAGCCTTCTCTGGTCTCCACTTCACTGTATCACTCCCCACAACCCTAGACAACACCAACACCAACAACAACAACATTGACAACTATCAAACTAAACCTAAAAGGACCAAAGGCCTTCTCTATGTTTGCAACCACAGGACACTCCTAGACCCTCTCTGCCTCTCATTCACCCTCAAGAGGAATTTCACCGCCGTCACCTACAGCCTCAGCCGGGTGTCGGAGATCTTGTCCCCGATCAAGACGGTGCGCTTGACACGGAACCGGGACAAAGACGCGGCAACGATGGGGGAGCTTCTTCAACGAGGTGACCTGGTCATTTGCCCCGAGGGGACAACGTGCCGAGAGCCCTATCTGCTCCGGTTCAGCCCATTGTTCTCGGAGATGAGTGACCAGGTAGTCCCTGTGGCACTCGACGTGCACGTCGGCATGTTCCACGGCACGACCGCAGGCGGGCTCAAGTGCTTCGATCCGCTCTTCTTTTTCTTGAACCCAAACCCGAGTTACAGCCTACGGTTGCTTGAGAAGGTGGTGGTTTCTTCTGGGGTTTGGAATAATTGTGATAGTAATGAATGTCATGAGAGTGAGAAGACGACAAGGTTTGATAAGGCAAATTATGTGCAGGAGGTGATTGGTAAGGCTTTGGGGTTTGAGTGCACAAGGCTCACAAGGAAGGATAAGTACTTGATCTTGGCCGGTAATGAAGGGATTGCTAGCAATAGAAATTGATAAAAAGAAAAGGCAAAAAAAAAGAAGAAATTATAGATTTTAACGTGTGACCATTTTAATGACCCCATTATTATAAGCTTTTCTTCGTTTTTGGTGATCTGTAATGTTGGATTGATAATACTTCCAGATGGGTACTTGGTTAGGTGTTTGCATATGACAAAGGAAAAAAAGATTAGGGTTTTATGGGATGTTTTGCCCTTTACAGTATGATTTTATTTTTTTTTCCTTTTGCTTTCTATTGGAATTTTCTGTTTTTAGTATACGGTATAGGTGATAAGAAAAGGACTCTTACGAGTCTTGACACAGTATGACTGTTGCATGACTAAACTAGCAAAGTTTCCTCAGTCATTATTTTCTGTATATAGTGAATGCTGTGACATTTGTACCACTAAAGTTTTTCCCTTTCATTTGCTGCAAACATTTGCCAGAAACATAGGTTACACATCTAAACATTTACCGCATCAACACAACAAATTTTGGAAATTGAAGCATAATACCTCGGATTCGGTTGATCACGTAGATAACTTTCTGTCCGAGAAATGACTATGTCTCTTTTAGGATAAGTTATAAGATAAGATGACTCACTGCTAGAGATGGGTTTGCATATACACAGCTAGTCATTGCTCACCGAACATTTTGACCTTCATTTCATTACCTTTCGGCCACCTACCAATGAGCTAATGTTGGAATCGCCATACCCTGAAATTAAGGTTGTTTTTGACTATCCGAATTTCTTTAACTAATAAACACAGGTTTAAAACTGCTTTGAAATGTTTTCCTAGATACACCCAGAAATAAGATAAGAATATTGACATGTTCAGTTTTCCTAACTCGTCCATGTAGAATAGTGTAAAATTTCTCAACCCGTTGCAGCCGGAGGACACTATATTCTGAATTTGGGTATAATTACATTCCAGATTGCTGATCAACCTGCTTGACTGGTTATAAGTTTGAGGACATAAATCCACTGATGTCGGCTTTTGATCTTGGACAAGGATATTGTGCATAATAGGCTTTGATCATAGTCAACTACTTGAATTAACAAAGCTGCTATATGCTCAGGAACATATAGCACTGGATACTATATTTCTTCAGCAAAGTAAAATAAGCACTTCAAACGCTTGCCCATAAGCATGATTCAGTTCCCAACCCCGGTCTTATCCCTCACAAACCCCATTCCAGACGGTATAGGATCACTTTTGGGTACCACAACCCCAATGTCCAACCTTGAATGGATCTACGCATATAACCACGAGTTAATGGTAGGGTGTGAGCAAAAAAAATGGTAGGGTGTCGATCATTGCTGATGACGCTATGCCATACAATTTGAGTGCGCATACGGTATTTGCTGACTTTAGTCTTCGATCGATGATATTTCTACTGAGATGGATGCATTAGGTCCTCCAAAAATATGAATTGTCAATTTAGATGCCATATGAAGACCTCAATGGCGTAGGGGTGTGTCGAAAAGTCCCCTTGCATAAGACTCGAAAATCAGATTGTCATGAGGGGTGGCTGGACCAAAGCGATGAGCCAGTATAGTTCAACTCTATAAGCTTCATACTCTATATCACAGGCAAAGGTTCGCACTACTGGGAAAAGACATTCGAAATTCCCATAGAGCCAATGATTTTCTTTCTGCGATCGACTGGTCAATCATTATAAAAAAGGAACATGCCTCTCCATTGGGGTCGAGTTCTTTCATTTGACTCGTTCGGTTTTCGCTTGTTCCTTACTGGACCAAGCGAGTCCAACTAAACTAGAAGTTATGGGGGTTGTCGATCAAATACTAGCCATACTAGAGGTCCTTACAAACATGTATTACATTAACAGGTGTACTACTCGATAGTTTTTTTATCTTATAACATGCCTAGACTTCAAAATGAGCATCCTCTTGACCTTGATGGGTCGCTGTCCCACTGTCATCTATCTTTTCTGCAAGTTGTCTCTGAATCTGCAAAGTGCAAGTGCATGAATGGCGGATCAAAGGGTCATTACTATGTTTAGGCTATTATATATTGGTCATCGAGTCCGCATAATCAGCGGTCACGATCGAGTAGGTCTCGCCGATGTATAGACTCAATGGCTCATGCGGAGGACGTACATTGCAACTGTTGGCGATATCTGTGTGATCGTCCCCATCACCAACCTGTGAGCCTGAAATAATTGGATACACTTGATTCCAGAGTGTGCTTCTACAAGAGAGAGGATCAGTTGCCCCAACTCTCTCTCTCTCTCTCTGACACACACACACAAACATAGTCACTATCTGGCCTTATCTATTCACCTTCAATACAAAGCGCAGCATTGCCTGCTTTACTTCACTTGCATGACTTCACCGGTACTTGAACTTTTTAATCTTCATCCCACGTTCAATGTTGTCTTGGAATATGTTCGACTATGTTGGTAACAAGAAAGGGTGGTGTCGACAGTGATGCACTACGCCATCAAGAGGATGTAGCTTTCATATTTCGACATTCATCGCGTTTTTTCCGGTGGCAGAAAGATACAATTTAGGGTCTTAATTCTCGAGACTCTTCGCAAGTAAAATGGGATTCCCGAGTCTATTTTGGGAACAAAAGCACATTCGACAATCAATCTAATGAGTCATGACATTGGTTTGATAACGACGGAGCAGCCTACGTTAGCTAAAAGCCTAGTGATACTTGAGTATGTTCAAATGAAAGCCATACCGAGTAATATTTTAACAAAGTTGAGAACCCCATTGAGCTAGAATAAAGTTCAAATACAACATCGTTCATCATGTGAAAGTTTAAAGGCTATCGGTACTGTTACTCCAGTAGATTTCACCTAATATCAGATATGCATTGCTATCGTACTTCGGATTTAAATGATTTTTGTTGCTTAGCCTGCTAATGTTTCTCACTTGTGATGTGTACTATTGTAAGTTCTTGAATCTTGAAGCTATATTAGAAGATGACGGGATTTATATACTTCAGAAAAATATCATAAACCATCCTTAATTCTCTCTCATCCTACTTTTTGCAATTAGTACTTCCGAAAATATGCGCTTTGCACCCTTTTCAGAAAACCTGCACTCTACACCTTAAAGTCTAAGAAACTAAAGTAAATATAGGATGCCTTCTGAACATACTTATGAGATCTTTGCAATCTTTTGCGTTCTGTACTTCAACACACTTCATGATGATAATGATACGACGATGAAAGCTTGATGCATGCCAACCTAATATAGGCAGATGAAAGAGCAGTTCAAACCAACTAAAGGAAACTCGCAATTGGGTGAAAAGAGAATGTGACACAGAACAATCTGACGATTCAAACTCACAATTTTCGTGCTTCTAGACAAGGTGGCTACTAATACAGCCATGATGTCTCTTATGTTAGAGATCTTGAACTATTAGGCAAAGATCACATAACAAAGTCAAATAATTCAGCTGACATGAAAATCAGTTTACCTGTCTATAGTCCATGAACCAGCAATTCAGAACACACCTAACATGAGCAAAATCGCCCCCCTATAACTACTAGACAATCCTTTGCTCTGGAGCTTATTGCAGTCATTGACATAAAGTAACAAATCTCACCTACTTATGAGTATTAGAGATCAGTATGTTCAGGAATTGAAAAACAACGTGAACAAAACAGAACAAGATTCACTTCATTCAATTCGTGAATTTATAGAGCTTATGCAATATAAAGTCAGTTTTTTTGGTTTGCTTAATATATACAAGTAGATAAGATAAAGAGTAAATAATACTCTTCTCAGATCAGTGCTCCAAGTCCTCATGGCTTTTGGGACGACAGAAATGGAAATGACCTTAACCAGCCCACCAAGCTGAAGTATGTTGGTTCAGTTGGCATAATAGAATGTTCTCTTTGATTCTTGCGAGTGAAGAAAAATGCATTTCCTCTAGGAAGACTTGTCCACCGAATAACGAGAAGAAATCACAGACCTCAACCAACGGGACAGATTCTTCAGAAACGGAGTGTAAACGAAGTAGCAAGTGATTGTCCAAGTCACTAACCCCTGCAATGCAAAACGCACAGAAACAACACAGCAAGTAAAACCAGACACCTCTCTGATACTGTTGTTATACGTTCATTTATGTTTTCATTAGTCATATTTGCGGATAGCAGGTGAATGAGGGCGTCTACAAGATTACCTGACCAAGGATTTCAACATTTGCTTGTGGGTAATACCAGAGGTTAAAGAACCTGAGAGATTTAGCCAAGAAAAAAACTAATCAATGTACAATCATTTTAGAATACCATTAATTTTCACTGTTAAGGGTAACAAGTAAAGCATGCAAAAGAAATTGAACAATTCCAACATAAGTTATGAATTGAACTAAAAGACCATTACTTCATGAGAGGAATCTCAGCCAACGGGCAGGCAACACCAACAACGCAAGCAAAGGCAAAACCAAACCAACTTCTGTCCAGGGACAACCATATTAACTCAGCGACTGCAAACAGAATGTATGCCTCAACGTTGTCTGCCACTCCAGCTTTGTACAGCTCAGCGCTCAATTCAATGAAACCCACCAGTGCTCTGAATTCATCAACATCATGAAACAAACCCCCGCAATCAGAAACCGCTCCAGTCATCAATCATCATATCAGGACCAATGATTTTTCTTCTCCCCTCATCTTTTGGCAAAATTTAAATCAAATTTTGTGGTGGACACTCACACCAGTGAAGCAACTGTTTTCTCCAAACTCCCTTGCGAAGCCTTTGAAGAAGTTCTCTCATCCAAGTACAGCAGAAGCAACCCAACAGTGCAATAGAACAACCCCAGCAATGGAGGGACCTAAAATTACATACCCCACAAGTCATAATCCATGCCGAAGTAAGAGCGAGAGAGAGAGAGAGAGAGAAAATTCTGCCCAATGCTAATGAGTCGAGATTAGAGCAAAACATATAATGAATGGGCTTTTTTTACCCAGATGTTCGTGTGGAGAGGGCCAAGATCGATTGACCCATTTTCGTAGACGACGAGATTGACCCTCGAGTGGAGTCCATCGATGAGAGTACCCAGAAAGAAGCCTGAACCGAAGAGGGAGATGGAGAGCGGCCAAGCGATGCTGAGTTTGCTTCCGGTCACAGTGCTTCGGTCTTCGTTCGAGCCGCAGCGAGTTCTGGGGACAAAACGTCTGAGATTTTGCAGCTGAGTACAAGGAGAGTGAGAGTGAGGGAAGCAAGAGGAACCAAAAGCGATGAGAGATTGCATAATGGTGATGGACCAAATAGCAGCGCTTTGGGATGTTTTAAGATGAACAATCCTTTTTTTCCAGGCCCATTCCGTCAGTGATGGAAATATATTTTTTTTTTGTACAAACGCCGACTTATCTAAATGATACGTGACATTATCTAAATAAATGGACCCTATTTATAAATATACTAAGAGCTAGCAGCATCGTTGTAAAAAGAATTATGTGTTCACTTAGATTGAAGACAATGGTTCCCAGATAAATATTTATGGAGCAATGACAATCTGGGATGGCTGTCGATATTGAAATTTACATTACAAGGATAGATCCTGCATTCTCGACAAGGATTAGCCAACTTCCGATCGGCTTCTTTTATCACTCCACATGCCACCGTCACGATGTGAGGTCACTCTAGAAGATACCATCTGTAGTGCACAATAATTGGTTAACCGGGGCCTTACAAAACATGCTTGATTCGGCTCAAATCAGATGATCTGATTCGGACCAGCAAAGTTTACATGCATCTTATACATACACAACAGTTCCTCCATTTCGAGACCCCTCTGCTTCGAAACAAAAAGCAGCAGGCATCTCCCAATAATAAGTCTTCGCCTATTGAAATTGAAGCCTGCTTCATCTATTCCAGAGAAAGATGATGCTGATGGGAAAAACCCCTCATCCGCAAAAGATCACCACCAAGGTCACTCTATATATACATAATGTCAGCTAAGGAAGCAGAATTTTCATGCTCGAGACGGGCACCCGAACATTGATGAGTAATTGTCATGTGTACCCGTCTAATTCCAGGAAAAGCTCAGCATTGGTCTAAGCTTCTGCTCAACTCCAAATCCGACGAAAAGAAGCAATCTTGAGGGAGTTGCATCTGCTTTCCGTGCTTAGTCGTTGACCAGGAATCTGGGGAAGCATACAGTTTGCGCCAAACCATCATGCCGCAGGCCACTGTTACCAATAGCCCAAAACTCAATCATCCCACAACTAGATGTCAGAAGCCTTCATCTTGCGAGGCCTTTTAGATTGAGATGGGGATTGTGCAGCTTCTGATGTTCTTCCAGGTGCCTGAAGAGGCCAAATTTATTATAAAGGGAAAAGAATAATGACATTAGGCACTGGACATTGTACAAGAACGAGTAGATCTTTAACTCAATAGGAGAACCTGGTTACCTTGCGTTTCTGGTCCCTTTTGCCAAATCTATCACCTGCAATTCGTTCATGTATCTGAATTCAATCATTTCAAGCTACAGGTCTAGGGTTCACTTGCAGAGGTTGATCTCAGGAGACTAGTAATAGGAAACAACAAAAGGTTCCACAGAGTGAAAAATTGACAACAACCACCAATAGATACCTCCAAAACTAAGAGGGTCGGGCATAAATGGCCGATCCTGGTCCCCACGGGGCGTGCGCTGTTATCAAGAGAGACATTTGACTTTTAATCATACAAGAAGAGAGAACGGTATTTTTGTGGGATACAGAATACAGTCTAGAAAAATGCTAGAAAATGCAAAGCAATGATTGCAGTGACTCAACTACATCTCATCTCAGTCCGCTGAAGTAATGAAATACTGACCTTTGGGGTGCCTGGTGTTTCTGAGTAAGGACTCTCTTGAAAAGATGTACCCTCTGCTTCCTTATATTGAAGCTGAAATTTGAGATGGGCATGTGCATTAATGAATCTCAAATTTTTAATTATCCAACTCAACAAATCCAATTATTCTTTATCTGTGTTCCTCTCTTGTGTAATTTCCTTAATGAACATTAAGGAAGAATTCTTCATTGCTGCACAGGCATATTTTTTTTATTTCATCAAAACACAGATATTCTATGGTTGGTGAGCAACCGGGTACAATTAGCAGGCATATCAAGCAAATTCAAAATGCAATTACCAGCGGAAACTAAATAACAGCTACACCAGGCCATCATGGTTACTTGTATTAATTCAAATGTCATGACAGCAGATGATACATGAGTTTGATGACAAAATGAGCAAATGTCGTTTTACTGAGATATAAACAAAAATGCGAGACCTTTTGATTGAAAGAAAATCTAAAGCTTAGAGATACGTAATCTGCTCATGAAAAATTCAGAAATCAAAAGATTAAGACAAAGAGACGAATATAATTATGGTTACACAAAAAATCACCTGCTTCTGAAGATTTAGAAGAGTCAATATCTCTTTCCTTAATTCAAGATGCTCTGCACAAACAGCTTTGGTTGGAACTTTTGGTTTCAAATTCACCTGAAAAATCGAAGGAATTGAAAATCATGTACAATTGTTGACAATAAAGCAATAGCTGAATCTGCTATCTATTAAAACGCAAAATGAATACTGAAAAAAGAAAGAGGAATGTGTGAAACTAACTAAAGCTTAGAAATTTATTACCAAGTCGCAGGAGATTTAAAACCTAGCAAAGGCTTAAATGCAACAGAAAAAATGAACAATAAATCTATTCACATAACATTGAGAAGGAAGTACCTCTGTTTAAATCCTAATGAGAAATTATGTGATAACGACTACACGTAATTCCCTTGCCAAGAAAGGTTCCTGGAACCATTCCTCGAAAGAGGAAATAAACATACCCCAAGTTCTTGCAAAGTTTGCTCAACCCGCTTGATTGTCCGAAGTCCAGCAGATGCACTTGCAGCTTGCACCATTTGATCAAGAGCATATGTTCTCAAGTACACACGGAGCTGAAATTTTCTCAGAGAGTTGTGGGAAAGCGTTAAAAGTTTAATACCGGAAATAGTGTCAACAGTGAACTACTCACTGGGGCAGACTTACCAAAATTATAGGAAAAAATCAAAAGGAACTTTTAAGGGGAAAAGAAGGTCATCTTAGATGCCAACAGTGCCTACCATGCGAAGAGAAGCAAGAGTAGATGCATTGTCTGCCATTAATGTTGATGATGCAGCGATAGCAGAGGGAAGTGCAGCATTTGAAGGAGTTACAGCGTCACCAGTGACTGCAGCCCTCTGACTATTTTCTGGACCAATATTTGCTGCTACAGGCAACTCAGACTCTTCAGGGGCCTGGAAATGAAGAAAAAAGAATTAAGAACTGCAATCTCCAGAAACTAGAAACATCAACAAAAACATCACACGATCACAACATCAGAATTGGAGTAAGAATAAATACTCCTCTGTATGCCAGAGCAGTGTTATTCTTTAAGTTCATTCTTTCTGAAGAGTTATAATGCCCTCTTCCTGAAAACAGAAAGCACAGCTAGAAAGATATGCAATATGGCACTAAGACCTACCTTAGCAGCCATGCGTGATTCTGTTATCCTTTTTGCTTCAGTCAGTACCTAAGAAAACAACGAATAAATGAGAAACAAAAGAAAAGGTTGATACTTGCTCATCAATTAATCTACCGGTCAAGAACTGCTTGATCTTCCGTCGAAAGGAATAGTAAATAATGACCTCGGCATCTTTTCTCTCTTGCTGTTTTGTTTGGGAAAGGACCATTGACAAGGCACGTTTGCGCTCTACTTCCTGTGACATATTGTAAGGTTCCTGTGCCGTGAAGAAACAGATGAGCACGGTAATCATGTAACTTGACTGCCTGAAATATAAATATAGGTGCTTAATTCTTCATCACCAACCTTCACAAGAGGGTGACTGGCGATATCCCCAGGAGGAGCTCTAGCACTCAGAAGAGCACGAGATACTAAGCATATGCAGCAGAATAGCCATCAGAATAAAAAATTAGAAAGTTAATGTGAACGGACCTTCACTCAACCTCAAAAACACACACTTACCACTATAATAGCGATCCTTCAGTTCCTCCACTGTGCGAGATGAGGGAAACCTGTCGGCTATCACAGTAAAGCGGAGATCAAACCTTTCACACAAATCAAACAATTGATCCGTCTCTTCTTTGGTCCATGTCTGAAAACAGGTAGAACAACTCGGTCAGGAAAGGAGAATTTGAAAAGCTAGCCAACAGATAAAGTCATGTGCAACAAGCATCGAGTGTATTCTATTCCAACAAAAAAAAAGTAAAGAGTAACTGTATCTATTCAGAGGTTAGAAGACAAAACTTGGGAAGGTACCTACAGGATCAGTCAAGTACTTCTCATACTCCTCATCAGCGTACTTAATAATGTTGACAGACTGCATCAAATCAAAAACAGAACAAACTCAAACCAATGACAATTAAATCATAACCATGAAGAGACAGATTGATAAACTTTCACATTAACATAGGCACATAAACACAAAAACCTCCTCTCAACAGAGAACATACAGAAAGTAACCAACCAACACGAGGTTTACCTTGTTGTATTTGGCAAAAGCATAATCACCAGTTGGTGGAACACCATTCACAACTCTGACCTGCAGATTTTCAAGAAACAGGGGCACTTTTACCGCTAACAACACCCCGATATAAAGTTTTCAATTGGGCAAGGCAGGAAGATTTACCCAATGGAAGAGCTGCAAATCATCCTTTCTAGCAGAATTCGTGAAAGGTAGCCACTGCCAAGTAATCTGAGCAAAGGGCAGAATTCTCTGAAGTGATTATCATACAAGAGATTACACGTAAAAGAAGCCCGGAACTCAGAATAACGAATAGAACGATCGATCACTCTATTCTACAAAAGCAATGGGTAATATGTGGATTAACTGAAAGTGCCATCTATATTCCAGAAAGCTCTTTCATTTGGGAGAACAGCCCGTGTAGACACTACAGAATCTCCATATCGACTAACACATCGTTCGCCATATACTACCGAGAGTGTTAACATCATGATTCGCGACGCAAACCAAGATGGTTACATCAAGCTCTGCCCTTTAACCCAATACTTAAGTACAAACGCGCCACACCTAGAATCCCATAACTACTCTAGGCCCAATCGTGGACTTAAACCCCAAACCCAACCTCGCTACACTACACTACCTCAAGCTGAAATTCGACGAACCTTCTCATCCGAAGGAGGCCGCCGTTTCAATTGAGAAACATCAATCGACGGCATGAGAGGCGCCAAACCGCCGGTGAGCGCATAAACCTCCCGCGAAATGCCGTCGGGCTTCCTCTGAGGTTCCTTCGGAGGCCTAGACTTCTTCTCCTGAGGGATCGGGAGCTGATTTTTGGGCAGTCCCAGAATGTCCTTGGCATCCA